GTTATGGCGCCTCTTTTTGACACGGAGACTCGTCCTCTACCCACTGTAGACCCAGGTAGAGTTGAGAGTCCGACTAATCCCATTACTAAAGACGCAAATATCCAACAGCAGGCAGATGGCAGTGAGACCGCACCATTAGTTTCAGTCGCATTAGACTCACCAGGCTCTGAGCCCAGTCCAAGCAACCGGGCCTCTGACGGTTGGGATCACATGGCTGCGGCGACAACTGTCGACGGGGCGTTCCACTACGGTGGCCTTCGTGACAATCCCATGCACTCACTTTCTCCTGATAGTTTTGTACAAAATCCGACACAAGAAGTAGACTTAGCGTTAAACCTAGAAACCCCTCCTGGAGACTTTCAAGCCTCAACCTCACTTGTAGAAAGTCATGAGGAGGATGTGTTCGATAAACTGGAACAACTATCGACTGAGATCGACGCGCCAACTCGAACGCAAGTGACAGGTGAATCCGATGAAAAAACGCATGAGGTGGGAAACCCCGACCCCTCAGACGTATCTGAATTTGGAGGACTGGCGGCAGGAGACAACGAGAAGCGAGAACTGAAACTAGATCAACGGATCAGCTGCTCTCTGGTCGAGGCTCTCGCGGCTTCGTCCCGCACGGAGGCTGTGGTGAATCTTGACGAAGATCAACTTGGTGATCAGTCGGTCCGAAATGAGGCTCAAACCAGTCTTACTCCCCCGGATGAACAGTATGCGCCTCTAGGGCTTGTCACCAAGCCGGAGCCGGATATTCAAGAAGCTTCAAAGCTTCCATGGACCCCGATCTCGCCTGACACAGAATACCAGGAAGAAGATGAGCAGAGTATAGAAGAGAAAGTCCGGGAGTCATTGGTGAGTGCAGTTGGCTCGTCACACTGTCCAGATGTCAATACCCAGTCCGCTCGGATTGATGAACCCTCACTGACGTCGGCCCTGACCTCGGAGACAACTGTCTCAGACCTCTCAGTTGAGGATCTCCTTAATAGGACGGCTGCCGACTCTGATCCCATCGAAGAAGCCTCCCTTCGTCCTTTGCACGCTGCTGGAAGTGTTATTACCGATAGTTTGCCTGATCGGCCCACACAGACACCAAATGATGCCTATGGCAGCCTTCCCCGTCTCAGCAATACAATCGAACATAAAGGTTACCCAGTGGAACACTGTCCCCCAACAACTCTTGCCTCTGACACTGCTATAGAAATGAGTGCCGAACCAAGCCATTTAGCCAACCAAAATGGCAGCAACAATGTCCTCGGTGGATTGACCGAGGAGTTTTTAAACCTAGACCCCTGCCCCCCCCAATCCGGAGAGGCAGTTGGAGAACCTTTGATGAAAACACACGAAATTTCGCAACTGAAGAAGAGTCAGGAGGACCTAGGGATTGCGGCAACTGACTATTTGCTGGCCGAGGAGGAACGTAGTCAGCAGTTGCCTTGCACTCCCGACGCTTCTACTCTCACTACTGGCTCTGTGGAGGTGGATCATCCACCCTTGTCGGGTGGAGAACCTTTGATGAACACACGTGAAATTTCTCAATTGAAGAAGAGTCAGGAGGACCTAGGGGTTGCGGCACCCGACCATTTGCTAGCGGAAGAGCGTAATCAGCAGTTGTCTTGCACTCCCGATGCTTCTACACATACTACTGTCTCTTCGGAGGTGGATCATCCACCCGACAAGGGTAGAGAACCTTTGATGAACACACACGAAATTTCTCAATTGAAGAAGAGTCAGGAGGACCTAGGGATTGCGGCACCCGACTATTTGCTGGCCGAAGAGGAAGTTAGTCGGCAGTTTCCTTGCCCTCCCCACGCTTCTACTCTGCCTACCGTCTCTTCGGAGGTGGGCCATCCACCCGACAAGGGTGAAAACTCTGCTCCAGAAACGACGCAGTCGCCCTTCGCTGAGACTGCGTTTGCACCCTCAGAGCCTTCTGCTGAGGTCTGCATGATAAGTCAACCCGACTCCTCTCAACAGCCTACAGAACTGGTAGAAGTACTTCGATCTGCGGACAACAGAGATCCCGACCTCGGAACTTCAATACCACCACAATTTAGCCCAAAACATAATGGAACCTCAGTTTCCAATGTCGAGGAACTTTCATTTTTCCCACCCTCCCTTCATGGCGACGCCAAGCCGTCAAATGAGATTGCAAGTCCAACTCCAGTTGTCAACCCGCATCCGCAGGATTCTTGGGACGACGAGGGCTGGAGTGACTTCGAAAGTGAAGAACCTCAGCCGAGTGCTAAATTCGAAAAAGATGCAACTCAGGTTGGTTCTGGTCTAGCTTTTCATCCTTCTTTTACGCAGGGCCTTTTTTATTTAGAAATTTTGATTTCCAATAGAATTGAATATG